AACATAAAAGCCCTGTGAAGGGAAGGCAAGGCAGAGGAGGACAGGACGTTGGAAAGCAGAGGCTTTTATTGAATACATTTTATATTTTATTGTGACTTTGTTAAATTGCTGTTTTCAGTTTACAGCAATTTTTCTTTTTTTTACAAAATAATAATATTTGAATTCATGTTGGATTTTTATTTTTTACATTCATAAATAAAAAAGTTATTAATAATACATAAGAATCATGTTTCTTCATGTTAACCCCCCAGAATATTTTGTTTATGTCACATATTATATGAGACTGTCCAAAATGTGGCAGTCATGCTTACTCAGCAGAAGCAGAGCAATATGAAAAAGGAGAAAATTAAACATACAGGCAAATATATAAATACACCCACAGTCACATTTGGATGAGGTTGCAGATAAATCACAAACTTTTTAACAAGCTTTCTGGATTATTCTGGGTTGATATTTTATCAAGACTTTCTAGTCTGTTGATTTGAGCCGAAAAAAATGGATGTAGTTCATTATGAATAATACATCAGTGCTACTGGCCGTACACCGGCCCCTCAGCATAACACTGCCACCATCGTGACGATCTATAAGAACTGCAAGCTGAGTGTTTTGAGGTGTAAAAATCTTATTTTAACTACTTCAAACATGTACGTCACAACAGCTGATCTTGACCTCATCTAATTATTAAACTTCCTTCTGAAACGCATTCTGCTTCCTCACTGACTGCCACGTTCAGTCGAACGTCAAAAGTGTTGATTTTGGGTTTTTGGTCCGCAGCCTCTCAGTTCAAGCCGACGTTAAACTCGCCTTGCTTCGGATGGCGACTCTGGAGTTCGTGCAGCTTTTTAAATTTGAGACATTTAGTCAAAAATATTAGCGCAGTGTGTTTTGAGATTGTGTGCCGCACGTTGGTCTCGTGCGAGTCGGAGAAACTGATTATTTTAAAACTCGAGTCGCATTCAGACTGAAGAAATTAAAATCGTTGCTTAAACAGAGTACTTGTCTTATTAAGCATGTGGCAATTAGATAATTAATTTCTCGATTTAAACGCCACGAGAATCGGATTTCTTTCACATTTTACTGTCTTTTAAATTACTAATAAAAAAAAAGTAAACCGGGTTCCTTCTGTACACCCAAATCAAAACATAAAACATTTGGAATACACTGAGACAATCTAATTTAGAGACATGGGAGTCCAGAGACATACGACTCTGTACAATATATTTCTGCGCTTTGAACATTTTGCCCCACAGCTGTCAGACATTAGGGTTTACAGAGAGCAGGGAGAGTGATGGAAGTCCGTTTCTTGGTCTTCTAAAAACGCGTCACAGGGTCTCGATGAGAGGCGGGGTCTGGCCGAGTGAAGGTGTTCCTCAACCCCAGAGCAAACTAGAGCAAATCAGAAAAATAAATGTTAGAAAAATATCTAATATCTGGCTTTCCCTCCCAAAGTTCAGGTTAGAAACCTGGGTTTCTAACTTGAACTAGCTAAAAACACTGCCAAGCGGTGTGTTTGTAGCTAGAAAATATTCCTGGAGAAACCAAACAATAGTTCTCTCTTTCAACCACAGCAAACATTCAAGAGTCTCTGCTGAGTTTTTGTTTTTACCCTAAAGAAAAAAATTGTAGCATTAGCTTAACCTGGCTCATTTTCCTAAGCCAAGTCATCATTTAGTCAGCAAAAAAAACAACAACATTTTATTAGGTTACAGAAATCCACATTTGTCCAGTTTGCTTCCACAAAAATAAAGGCAGACACTTTGTAGGACACTACAGTTTCTACTCGAGGTTTAACGCACCAGTTGCTGCGTAGGAAAAGTCAACCAGTGTGAAATCACACTTCACTCAGGGAAATACAACTGGTATCGATGACTCAGTCTGAAATACGATTTCTTAATAGAAATGAGTTTCCATTTAAATGAGTAACTTTTGGGCAAGTCACACCAGTTAACTTTATCTGACTTAGTTTGAGGATTTTGTTTTTGTGTTTTCAACACACATTTGAGTGGAGCAGATGACAGAATTTAAAACTGGGCTAAGTGCACGAAAACCAGTTCTTATTTATTCTGAGCTATAATCAAATTAGAAGACAATCGATTATTTGGATAGAGAAACATTGGTCATGAAGCCAACTACAAAGAAATGCATCCATTTTTCTTCTCTCTCCGTTGTTTAAAACGGGGATAATTGTTTTGGAATATTTACTTGCACGAAAAAAAAACATGAGGAGCCACTTTGTGGAAATGAAAGTTTTAAAGCGATATAAACCTTTGAGAAGCCGTGAATATAAGGCTAAGAAACTGACTGTGAAAAAAATTAAAATCTAAATTTAAGTTACATTAAACTTTTTTTATTTTACTCAAGGTTACATGTGAAATCTCAAAACTGACCCTTGCAGAAGTGGAAGTTCCAAAATGTCCAAAAGTCAAAATAAATCCCAGCATAATGGTTTTAGAAGAAAGTGAAGCCCGTCGGATCACATTCTGTTCCTTTTTTTTTTTTTTTTTTTTTTATTAAATCGAGGCATCTTCTTCCCCCTCCACCCGACCCAAAAAAATCTTGTAACAGTTACATCTTCTCAGAGTCCAGATGGTTTCATTTCAGTAAAACCATGTGAGCATCAAACCTCGTAAGCAAAAAAAATAAATAAATATTCTTACCTCAACAGCGTAGGTTCAGGCATGCCTGGATCTGCTCCACGTTTGAAACCTGCCACACAGAAGATTTGAAGACACTTACTTCAATGTTGTAATAAACAGAAAGCCTGAAGATTAACCAGGGGGATTACTATATTTCTAAACTATATAAAACATCAGCAGAGGTGGAAAAAAAAATAAAAAATTAAAGCAACAATAGTATCGCCATCATCATTCCTAAATAATTCTCATCTCTGTCATTTGTTCCAAAGCGTCAACCTCGGTGCAACGGATTCTTTGGAAACGGAAGACTAAAAACGGCTATGTTTTACTTTTAGGGAAATAACTATTCTCGCTGGAGTTTCAGCGACTGGCTTTCTTATATCTGGCTCACTGATGAGCAATCGAAACTGCTTTCACTGATACGCTAAGGTATAACAAGTTGTTTCTACTAATCTGTACTGTGACAGTGTGAAAATGATAAGCTTGAAATACCATTTAAAGTGAAGTGATTTAAGCCATTTCATTATACTTCTACATGCATTTTCATACCTCTTTTTTTTTTGCATATTTTCTTACAACTTTAAACTTTATTGGATTTTATTGGTAGCTTGTGTAAACAACTAGTAAAAAGTTGTTTACTAGTGAAAGGAGGGAGTGGGGGGGACACAAGGCTGACAATTTTTTTTTTTGTTTCAGATAAAGATCTGAAAAGTGTGGCATGAGTTAATATTTTCCAGAGCCAACCCCGAACTTTCATTGCAATCACAGCTGCACGGCTCGCTTCCATGCACAGAACAGCGACGTTTATACTCATTCAGAATATATGCACTTGCTTCACTTCTCATATACTTAAATATAAAGCCAAATTTTGCTTCCACTTTACAATTATGCATCACTGTGTGTTGGCCTATCGCATAAAATCCCAACAAAATACAGAACCACGTCACAAATGTGCCTAAACCAGAGAAGAGACCTGTGTGATTTTAAAAAAGAAAGTGTGACATCAGCACTGGTGATTCCGATATGCTGAAGTCAGAGAAGATCCTGACACAGATAGCTAGAGGATGTGTGTGGTCACTCATGCAAAAAGATTTAAGTTCCCCATTAGTAGTCTCCACAGCACATCTATGCAAAATTCTCAAGTTTCCCATCGTTGCTGCTGATCTAAAATCAGATCATTTTCTGTTCCCCCAGTCCCCTCAGGCCTCATTTAGGAACTACAGTGTTTAAGCCACGGGGAGGGGGAGGGGGTGTTCTCATTGGGTCCTTTACATTTTTCGGGTCATAAAAAAGGTGGTTTGTTCATAAAACTGCGTCGGTGAGCATATATTGGAGAGTCACAATAAAACTATAAATGCGTCACATTTAAAATGAAGAAAGAAACAGGGAAATCAACAGTACCTCTCAGTCAAAAGCTAGCATGCAAGGCTAATTAGCCGACATTAGCCATGCATGTCTCATTTCTCCCCTCCTCCGCCTTCATTTGTTTTAATACTAACCGAGGTAAAGCACGGTGGGAATGAAGCCCCATCGGATGACGAACTGGCTGCACTGGAACAGCTGCTGCAGCCGCTGTTTGGTCTCCTTGCTCAGTTTAGCCATGTTTTTGCTCCGACAACGAAGACCCCGACGCTTCTACCAAGGACAGGAAAAAGGAAGAGACGTGGAGGATAAAGAAACTAGTTGACGGCCTCGGACTTCCAGCTGCCGCCACCTGGTGGATAGAGGCGTTCCTGCAACCCCTGCTAAAACAAACAGCACGTATCGGAGGTCAACATTTGCTCATGACTAAATAAATTTGCTAAACGTAAACAGTATTGGGGCAGCATTTGCACTGTTTGTGATAGTATTGACTTCTTATTTATTCAAGTACCTTTTTTTTGTCACATACTTGCTTTTTACCCATTTTTTTTTATTAATCGAGAGTATTAAATGTTTCTGACAGAGGTTTTGTACATTTGTTCTGTTAATAATTGCACATTAAATGTTTAATATAAACAGTAATATTTTTACTAATAAGTTTTTTTGTTCAATGTATGAAAACCAGATAAGTAGTGCATTCACAGTAGAAAAAAATATTCACCAGACACCCAATGTTCACCCAATTGTGGGTTACTTCATTAAACAATTATTTTGACATCCAGTTCAATCTGGTGTTTACTTTCAAGAAATCTAATTTGTAAAAGTGGCCTAATACTTGTCCTGAAAACATCTTGATTTTTATTCTGAAGTAGTTTCAAGTTGGAAAAAAACATCAATTGGATCCCCTGAAGTCAATTCTTAAGAGTCAGGAATACGTCAGCAGTGCCATGTGTATGAAATACATAGAAATGTGCATATATAGTCTTTATTTGCATCTGCATTCCAATGTGATTTACATGTTCTACTTTCCAAGTCAAATATGCAGCATAGGTTCACCAAAAATGTTTTAGCCAATTTTACATGGCTTTGCAGGATCCATTAAGTCTCTTACAGAAGTTTTCAGATTTTATCAAAAGGGTTCAGAAGGGCAGAAAGGACTTCTGGCACTCAGCAGGTGGTTTTGTGATCTAGTGATGCCAACTCTCACTACTCTGGAGAGAAAGACTTAAGACTTCATTTCTATTGCCTCACACACCCCAGATAAATCTCACTCCAAATTGAGAGTGTCTACACTTAAAAATGAAATAACTTCTTCCAGATTTGAAGGCTGCATTAATAAACCAGATTTCCGCTCAGTTATTATAATGCAGCTTTGACAAATCTGGTCTGAATAATACGAATGCCCCCTAGTGGAAGAAGAGAAACATCTCAGAGCGCACCAGTGAAATATAGAAACACTTTATTTCCAGAACTTGTAGCAATGAGTTATTTTCAGACATAGAAAGGCAAATATAACCAACTTTAGTATAACAGTATGATGTACAAGGATAGCTTAACCATTTTACTGTAAACCCACATACAAAGAAATATGATTGGTATCGTCCCACCAAGCTATAGACACTCAACAGCTATAGTAAACAGACCGAGGGTGGAGCAGCATGACGGCTTGATTTAGAACATCAATTGTAGCAGATGGTTGGAGTTTTATTCACTTCTTGGTATTAACATGTCTTTTGACATGTGGATGAAGTAACAAACAAGAGGAGAGGCAGGAATTACGTCACCTTAGTACTACAAACATCTGACATGGCTGGGTTAGAACATGTGCCCCCATATTGCTTGAACACTTACAGTTTAGGGATAATTAGAAATAACTTTGTTGAATCTAATCAACCTGCTGCTGTATGGGGTTGTTGCATCACACAAAAGTTGGGAAAAAAAACAAAACAAGTCCCCTTAGGGAAAAAATACAATTTCAGAGTCAAAAACTCTTGTTCGTATGAAAAATACCAAAGTTCATTACAACCGATTAGCTCTTCTTTGTGCAAAATTCAGTACTCAATCATTCATATTCATCGCCCTCAAAGATGCAAATCATCTTCGTCATTTTTAAGAAGTCGGATCCAAAGTGTTGCCATTTATGACGCGGCATGTAAAGAAGGTGCCCTAAAAGGAGCAATGAGGAAGGAAAGTATTGCTTCTCCGTCACGGTGAGAATACTGTGTGATTGTAAACAGAAGAGCTGATTCTATTCATACTGGTTGATTATTCAGTGGCTTGCTTTTCAATGCGGTTCAGGAGGAATCGAGAAGCAGCGCGTTTAAAACTGCTGTCCAATGAGGTCGGAGTGATCAGCCCAAAAACATTAAAAAAATACTGAATAGAAGTGTTCTGTATTGCTATGGGAAGGGAATTACTAGTAATATAAAAGTAGTAGAAACACATATTTGGACTAAGAATCACACTATACTCACTGTACCAATCAGCAGCCGTTTTCTAAAAAACAACAAAAAAAAAAAAAACATACACACACGCATGCTCGCACATATAGTACACCTGCCCACAGACACAAAGAGCATGGGTGGAAAACTGGGCAACAAATGCAGGTTTAATAACTTTTTAAACAGGTTTTTTTTTAGTGATCATTTTAAGTGCATTTATTTATGAGGGCAGACTTATGACCTGCCTTGACTTCAACTCAAAAATAACAACAAAAACAAGAAACCTGAAAGTGGTACACCCGATGCCCTCCCTCCATCATTCGCCGAGCTGCTCTGGATGTCGGACTGAAGCGAGACGACAAGCCGGTTTACGGCACGCAGAGTCGGAAACGCCTAAAACGAAGTGATGGAGAAAAACACGCGGGGAGGTTGGGGGAGTTTTTCTTCACACTTTTGCAGTCGAATGCAGTTGGCATGGCTTGGAGTTCCAGATCACAGGTACAGGGTCACAAGATCACAGGATCAGAGATGAGGGTTCGTTTGAGTAAAAGAGTCTTAAAGGGCTCAAAGGTCGGGGCTGAAGTGAACGCTAATGCTTGTGGAGCGCGGGGTGTGGTTCGGCTTAGGGCTCAGGTACCCCATCTTGTCCTCCTGCAGGCTGCAGGAGAAGCAGCCCACCTCGGAGGCCGGGTGGTTGGGAGTGGGGCTGCTGCTGGCAACGAGCTCGAAGGAACGAGAGAAGACGGCGCTGGCAGTGCGAGTCAGGCTGGTGAGGGCGCCCGCCCTGGGCACCGACTGGCTGGAAGTGAGCGTCAGCCGCTTGTTGGACAGGTCCGCGTTCTCGCTGGCGGCCCGCCCCGTTGTCGGGGCGTTGCACTCCTTGTCCTTGTCCTTGCTGCTGCGCCCGTTGAGCCGAACCTTCTTCAGCGCTTTAGCTCCCAGGTTCAGTGTGGTGGTGCTGCTGCTGATAGTGATGGCGGGAGGGTTCATGTCGGGAACCACCGCCGCTACCGGCCAGACCCCTTCGTCCAGCTCAGCTATGTCCATCAACTCGTCCGGGGAACCCAGATCCACTGCGTCTGTGAGGCAGACGGAGGAAAAGAAAACAAAAACAAACAGGCACTCATGTTACCAAAGAGGTGCAGGATTATCAACCTCATCTGCTGTCCAGCTTATTTAATCCAATGATGACTAAATAGATTTGAAATGAACAGAATAATTGTTTTTAAAAGACTAAATTGGCTGGACGTCAGATGAGGTTTACTACCAACCAGCAGGTGGCGCCTTTACACTGCAATGTCATCTTACAAAGAACGTCTTGCCACCAAGCAAAAGATTATTAGTTAAAAGTCCAGCACACATTAGAATAAGGAGCACAGGTGTGAGACAACAGCTAGTAATCTAGTTTTAAAGGAGTGCATGTTTTGTCCCAAAGGAAAGCAGGAATAGTGTTTAAAAGCACAAGCCTTGGAAAAAAATTACAAAGGGAAAGTTGATGAAAGCAAATAAAAAGGACAATTTAAAAAAAAAAGACTTCTTCCCTTCTTCTGATTAAAAACTCACTATTTTCTGCTTTCTGTAAAACATGAAACCAGACCCGCATGAAGGGCAGCATGTTCACAACTACAGATCAGAGCTGTCGCTATCGTGACAACAACACGAGTACAGAGCAGATAAAACAGACAGATAGGAAGGTCCTGCTGAAGTCCTCCAGATTCAGCCCGCTCAGAGCAGGTCAGGAGATATTTGTCTTTAATTAAATTTAAGTTCAAGACCTGCATATCCTTGGCTCCTAACTACAAGTCAGAAGCAAACAATCTGCTTCCAGTTGCAACCCAGGATTAATGTGTTGAGGTGTTTCGACCTTCCGAGTACCTTTGCCTTTTTTCCTGGTAAAGAAGACAAAAACTTTTCTGGAGCCTTCTAGAGATCCTTTAAGCTCACTGCTTCAAGGTCATTGGGATTGCTCTCATTTTTCTGATATATTGAACGAAAAACATACTAATTGATAAGCCTACCTTACAGTGCCTTGTAAAAGTATTCATAGTCCTTGAATGTGTTGGCATTGTGTAGTGCAACAACCACATAATGTATTTTCTGAGATAAACACAAAGCAGAGTACAACTGGGAACAGGAAGACGTAGCCATGCATGAAATCTATTCAGTTTCTCTCCCTCTGCTACAAAAAAAAAAAAAAAAGACATCCCCAAATCATAATGCTGCCACTACTCTGTTCACAATGAGGATGTTACTTCAACTGACTATTTTTCTGCTCATTACTTGCCAAACCCGTCAGTTTCCATTAATACCAAACTGTTTTTATCTGCAGGTGATGGATTAAACAGTTCTTTGTGAAATGCACAAAACCTGGGAAATGTAGTCCTGACTTGTCTAGTGCGTTTTTTGGCCTTCACTATTCTTCCCAAACAAAAATTCTGACGCGTCCAAAGCACTTCTGGACAATTCACGAGGCTAAACACAATTACATGCTACACTTCGTGATTTTATTAGTAAAAAAACAATTAGTGTTCAAAAAAAGTTGAACACTATACGTTTCAACTTTTCAATTACATGCCACTTTGTGTTGAACAAAATACTTTAGTTTGTGGTTGTGACATAAACAGGTTTAATTGTATAAATACTTTTACAAGGCGTTGTCAATCTCCTCCAATAAAAATCACCTTTATTTTATGTATTTTAAAAAAAAAGTATGATCTGAAAAGACACCAAAAGACATATTTAGGAGGTTATTCAAATTATTCAGAGAGGTTATAAATAACTGACTGGACTTAAGTCATGGACGCTGGTCTTAATAATGAAGCTAAACCCACACGGGAGAGCGTGAATAAATGAAATGACGATTGATACCGATTGA